CCACCCACGGGGCGGCTTGGGGCCAAGGCGGGCTGAAGAGGCAGGTAAAGAGGAAGGTACAACGAGGCCGCGTGAGGCGCCTGCACCTCAAGGCGGGAGGGGGAGGGTGGCGATATAGGACTGGTGGCCAGGTCCGCGCTGGCCGGGCCCGCTGCGCCCGGGGGCGTGGCTCCGCTGGCTTGGAGCTGAGCGACTAGGCCTGGGCCAGAACCCGGGAGGCAGGGGGCGGGACTGGGTTTAGACCACACCCCTGGGGCGCGCCAGTCTCTGTTGGATTATCCATTTTATTGCTAGGATGTCAGCCACCTGGCCCCCCGGCCAACATCCATCTCCAGAGTTCGCCAATGAGCACGCGGGACTCCTGAGGAGGGAGCGGAGCCAGGAGGACAAGGCGGGATGTAAGCATTGTTCTGGACCCGGGCAGTGAATGGAGCGCATGCGTAAGGAGCAGGGCTGGGGCCCCACGTGACTCAGGGACCTACCAGGAAGCTACCAGAGTGCTTCCGCCTCCTGTTCACCTAGCCTACCAAACTCATCTACGTTTCAGCGACCAGACCTGCACGGGGCGGTTAGTCGTGGGTAAACTGGTTTTGGAGAGGAATGCACTCACTTGCTTATTGGCGAGGTCCAGGAATTGCAAGGTCCTGTGGGACGAGAAAGGGATCATGAGATGAGACGCAAATGAAATGCCTGGTGGAGCACCTGAGACCACTAATGCAGCCCCAAGAATCTAGAAGCCTGGATCAAAGGGTCAAAGACCAAGGACAAAGAGAAGAGGAATGAATTGTTAGACTCCTGGTGTCCACTTCTGTAATGGGAACTTGTCCCTGTCAGTTCTGTTCCCGCTAACAGGAAACCTACAGGTCAGAGACCAAAAATAACTGCAAAGAGGAAGGGCGGCTGTGAACTCACACAGGGCGCCACCAGTACCACCCACCTCTTCCTCAGTGGGGCTGGAACCTTTTCCTCTGCCCTCTAGTAACAACCACTTCCTAACCACCTTTTTTGATCTCATGTTAGGAGAGACTAAAGAGACAAACTATGACCCTGGCCACTGGAGCAATCAGCTTCTCCCACCCAACCAGTCCTTAGGCCTCCCCAGTCCCCATAACACTAATATGGCTTGGGTTTTCTGTTTCTTTATCATAAGTCAAGCTCCACAGGACTCTGACCTTGAAACCTTGGGCTCAAGGGTTTATACCTAGACCAGTGGAGGAAAGAGGCAAACAAGAAGATGGGGTGAGGAGGGAGGCCGTGTAGTCCTAAAAAGCATATTGAGCCTTGTAATTTTATATGGGGAAAACAAAAATAATTGTATCAAAAAACCCTATATATGTGTCTCTGTGTATTTTTTTTTTTGGTAGGTGAAGTAAAAACATTGGTGGGGAATATGCCGAAGATACAGAAATTGGTATAGCTGTATTACATAATGGTTAAGAGCCCAGCCTTTAGAATCAGATTATAGTTCAATCTTGACTAATTACTTATGAACTTGGTTAAGATATTGAACCTCTCAGTTGGTTTCCCCATCTGTAAATTGGGGATAATAATAACACCTACTTTTTAGGGTTGTCAGGGGGTTTAAAATAGAAAACCCAGCCTGGCATAGTGGCTCATGCCTATAATCCCAGTACTTTGAGAGGCTGAGGTAGGAGGGTTGCTTGAGCTCAGGAGTTCCAGACCAGCCTGGGCATAATAGTGAGACCATGTCTCTACAAAAAATAAAAAAGTTAGTCGGGCATGATGGCGCATACCTCTAGTCCCAGCCACTTGGGATGCTAAGGTGGGAGGACTGCCTGAGCCCAGGAGGTTGAAGCTATGGTGAACTGTGATCATGCCACTGTACTCCAGCTTGGGTGACAGAGACAAAAATAAATAAATAAATAGAAGAAGAAGAAAAAGAAAAGAAAATTCATGCACTAAAATGCTAAGTTTATGTCCTGACATGGCAAGATTACGTGAGAAATATTAGTTGGTCTTATCTTCAACAGAGATGTAGTGGGAGGCGAAAGAAGGTTTTAGTCTAGTTTTGCATTAAAATAAAAAATCGAATCCACATTATGGGTTTTAAAAGGCTGAGAAACAGCCATTGCTATTTCAGCCACTGCTAATTTGGAGGGTTTCCTCCAAAAACTCATGTTGAATCTTAATCCCAAGTGTGGCAGTACTGAGAGATGGAGCCTTAAGAGGTGATTGGATCATGAGGGCTCTGCCATTCATGGATTAATGGGTTAATGGATTAGTGGATTATCATGGGAGGAGAACTGGTAGCTTTATAAGAGGGAGACCTGAGCTAGCCATTAGTATGCTCAGCCCCCCCACCATCATGTGATGCCCTGTGCTACAGAGAGCTCCCGTTGGCAAGAAGATTCTCACCAGATGTGGTCACTTGACGTTGGACTTCACAGCCTCCCTAACTGTAAGAAATAAATTCTTTTTCTTTATACATTTCCTAGTTTCAGGTATTCTGTTACAAGCAACAGAAAATGGACTAAGAAAATTGTACAAAGAAGTGGGGTATTGCTGGTATTGAATACCTGAAAATGTGGAACTGGCTTTGGAACTGGGTAATGGGAAGAGGCTGGAAGAAGTCTACATTCTGGTGAGGTAGATAAAAAGACTGGGGAAAGTTTGGAATTCCTTAGAGATTGGTTAATTAATCATGACTAGAATGCTGATAGAAAGATGGATAGTAAAAGCCATTCTGACAAGGTTTCAGATGGAACTGAAGAACAAGGTATTGGAAACTGGAGTAAAGGCCATCCTTGTTATGAACTAGCAAAGAACTGCCAGAGTAGTTTGTGGAAGGCTGAACTTGAGAGTGATGAACTAGGGTATTTGGCAGAAGAGATTTCTATGCAGCAAAGTGCTGAGGCTGCATGGTTACTTGTGAGTGTACGGTGATCTGGTAGAGAAAAGGGAAACAGAGCGGAAAAAATTGGCAACTTCTCAGACTGTGGTTGAGAATGAAAGAGCGTTTTCTGTGGAGGAATTCAGGGTGTGGCCAAGATACCACTTGCTAAAAAGATTAGCATGGCTAAAAGGCAGCCAGATACTATTCCTCAAGAAAATGGAAGAAAATTCCTGAAGGCATTTCAGAGATCTTCAAGGCAGCCCCTCCCATCATAGGCCCAGAAGCTTCGGAGGGTAGAGTGGTTTCAGGGGACAGGCCCAGGGTACTCTCCACGGGCTTACCACCCAGGACTACCTTAGGACTCTACATCCCACACCCCAGTGAAGCTCTTTGCAGCCACTCCAGCTAGGTGGTGGCTTAAGTGGCAGTTCCGGAAGGTACAAATCATTGACCTTGGCAGTGTCCATGTGCTGCTAATTTTGTAAGCTTGCAGAAAGCAAGTTGCAGAGGCTTAGCAGCCTCCACAAAGGTTGCAAAGGATGTCACTGAAAGCCTGGGGGCCCAGGCAGAGACTTGTCACAGGGGTAGAGTCACCCCAGAGAGCTCCCATCAGAGCAATGCCAAGCAGAAATTTGTGGTTGGAGTTGCCATAGAGAATTCCTGCGAGGGATGCCTTTTGAAGCTGTGGAAGCAAGGTTACTGCAGAGTCCCCACTAGGGCAATGCCTGGTGAGCTGTGGGATCAGGACAGTCACCAGGGCCTCAGAACTGTGGAGTGAGAGGCAGCATGCAACGCCCACTTGGAAAACTCCCAGCACCAGACTCCAACCCTTATGTAAGAGCAGCCACAGGCGTTGCAACCCAGCAAAGCCTTGGGGACCCACTCCTCACCCCAGTGTGTCCACAAGGTGCCACATAGAGTCAAAAAGGTTATTCTCTAGCTTTAAGATGTAATGTCCGCCCTGCTGAGTTTGACTTGCTCGGGCCCTTTTACCCTTTCTTATTTCTCCCTTTTGGAATAAATGTGTACACCGTGCTTGTTCCCACCATTGTATTTTGGAAGTAGATAAATTGTTTTGATTTCAAGGCTCACAGACTTTGAACTTTTCTGTTGGTACTGGAATGAGTTAAGACTTTGGGGCTATGGGGATAGAATAAATGTATTTGTGAGGATATGAATTTGGGGGGCTGGGGCAGAATGCTATGGTTTGAATGTGTCCTCCAAAAACTCATGCTGAAACTTAATCCCCAGTGTGGCAGTATTGAGAGGTGGGGCCTTTAAGAGGTGATTGGATCATGAGGGCTCTGCCATTCATGGATCAATGGGTTATCATGGGAGGGGAGCTGGTAGCTTTATAAGACGAAGAGAGCTAGAACATTAGTATGCTCAGTCTCCTCGCCATGTGATGCCCCGTGCTGCTCATATCGGCAAGAAGACCCTCACCAGATGTGGACACTTGAACTTGGACTTCTCAGCCTCCGTAACTGTAAGAAATAAGTTCCTTTTCTTTATACACTTCCCAGTTTCAGGTATTCTATAGTAAGCAACAGAAAACAGACTAAGACAATCACAAACTATAATTGTTGGAGGGACATGCAGAGGCCATGTTAACTGACTTTTCCACAGATGAGGGATTTAAGGCCCAGAGAGAGGAACACCAGAATTAGTGACCTCTGCCCATTGGGCAGAACAGAGCTGTACTCCCAGCAAGCACACAGGACGGGAAAGGGTAGGAGAGACACATACATTGGGCCCTGGATTCCAAAATACCATTGCCAAGTGAGGGTGGGATTGGCATTTTGTTTCTAACCATGTAGTCTTCTCAGTGCTACCTACAGCCCCTGCTGTCCTTATGGGACCCGAATCCTATGCCTTTTCCTTGGTGATAAAGTTATGTCCCAAGTGTTAAGATCCCCAGCAGAAATGCATCCTCAGCCTCTTGGTATTACTGGTGGTTTCCTTATTTTTCTCTGCCGCTTCCACACCTCAGCAGGAAGTGACTTCAGAGCAGCAGGATGCAGGTGGCTCCGGAGAAACTTCATGAAGTCACTGGTTCCTACACAATGAGCCGGAAGGCAAGGGCAGGGAAGGGTAAAACAAGGACCATTTAAAATGACTGGTGGGATGGACAGTGGAATGGGCACTGAATCCAAGATGTTATCCAGGAGGGAAGATTCCCTCTTCCCCAGCTCCCAGATCCCCCCAGGCAAGAAGCCAGGACACAATAGGCAGCACAGAGAGGCTTCTTTATTCCAAGGATCTGATCTTGCAATATCTAACATTTCCACACCCAAGCATTCTCCACCTGCCTATCCAGACTGCTAAATAGAAATCATGGTTCCTTATCACATCCCTCTTCTGCCTTCCCTCCCTCCTTCTTCAATTCTGCAACGGAATGATTGAAACTATGGGAAAGAGAGATAAGTAGCTTTCTCACTAGTAGTAGCCACCAGTACTGACTTATCTCTGAAGTTTTATCCCACAAATGTAAAAGTCCTTCTTACTGTCCACTCTTGTCCTATAATCAAATAGGCCCCAGGGCAGCAAGGGACAGGACTATAAATCAAGGCTTCAGACTATCATCTAACATTCCAGAGACTCCACCCAGTCAAGAGGCAACACCATTCTTAACTTTCTACCCACCTGGCCCACACCAAAAAACGGTACCCATTAACCAATCTCTTAATTCTACCTGGAAACTTGGTCAACTAGAATGGGCCTTTGGCCCATCAGCTAGCCAATCTTTTAAACCTCTAATCCCAACAGTAATCCCAATCATAATCCCAAACTACAGCAAACCCAAAGAGGAACTCAGCCCCTTTTCTTTTTCTGTGGAAGTTTCTAATGCATTCACTGGTTCCAGACAGGAATGCAGTGATGGGAAAACTGAGTCACAGACTCAGTTTTTCTAAGGTAAGAAAGTTACCAAGCACTGTGACTTCTAGAGGCAAAGAGGTCTCTGGTATCTGGACACTTGCCAGAAGATGTCCAAATAAAAGGAAGAGAGGGCTCATTTCAGGTAGAGAGAACCCCAGGGAACATTCAAACCCAGACACCTCTGCAGTAAAAGACGGGTCCCAACTCTTTACCATCTAATCAAGGTAATGAGTTTTGTAATTCTCCCCTAAGTCATAACATTCATTGAGACTGGGCAGAGTCAGAAAATATCTCATCATCTCTGATAAGGAATTTCTGATCTCCTCCCACAGAGTGATCAGTTCAATGCTAAGAACAGATCCCAGTAGGAGGATTATGGGCTCAACTGAAGCTCCTGGGGGGCTCCACCATTATAGATGGATACAGTAGAGCCAAACCCAGGCAACCAGATTAATGGGACAGTTTAGGTTCTGGACCATATTGCAGGAAAGATTACCAGCCCCCACACCCACAGCCCCTCCAGGAGGCATTTATTATCTCCTTGTTGGGCTCACCGTGAAGGTTTCTATCACTCTTGAAGAAAAGAGAAAAGTCTAGATCCATTTCTAGCCCGCTAGAGAACCGACAGCATCCAGAATACCAGAGAGGGTTCCTGACCCAATTCCACAATCTCACATGTTTCCAGAGATACCCTAGAACAAATAAAGGTTCCAGACCTAGAATTAGAGGGGCAGAACACAGAGAACACCCCTTTCTCCATTTTAAACAAACAAGCAAACAAACAGGAGAAAGAACAATTCTAAAGATAAACATTACAACAATAATATAAAACACTTAAGCCAAAGGAGAGAGCCAAGAGCTAATAATCTCTGCCAGCAGAGCTGTGACCTCACCTGTTTTGGGTCACTTTTGACCACACTTGTGGAAGAGGGAAACACAATAGAATAAAGGCCCTGGTGCCACCCAAAGGCCTCAATAAATTATATTTACAGATAAACTGAATGCGATGGAGGCCACAGGTGGAAGGCTGTTCCCTTAAGGAAACCCAGCCTCCAGTCTCTCCCCTCCCCCAGCTAGCTCCCCACCTCAGAAACAATCTGAATTGTGGAAAGAGGTTTTGACCAGCAAAACAGAGACAGATCTAGCCCGGATCTGCCACCCCTGCTCTCCCCATCAAATTAAGGTGATGGCAATTTCTGATGCCGGAGTGGCCTTGCACACTGCTGTGCCCAAGCCTGACAGGGAAGCCAGGCCTACGCCTGCAGCTTTCCCGAGCCCGGGAAGCGAGTGGGGTCTGGGCCTGCGCTCAGCTAGGGCCCTCCCAGAATGTGGTAGTGCACTTTGGTGTTGGTAGCAGCTCCGTGTTTCTGACGCAGATGCAGCCGCAGTTGACTCTTGTGCCGGAAATGCAGGCCGCAGGGGTCGCACTGTGGGAAGACAGCTAGGTCAGGTACGCCCCATCCACAACCACCTTTTCGGTGTTGAGGGAGGGGGAACAGTCCAGCAATCCGCCAAAAATTAGCTTTCTAGCTCTCACGTCCTCCCAAATCCTCAGGGGCATAACGTCCAAGACCGCCCATCCCTATCCCCGGCCTCTGCCTCTTATTCGCTGGAACTTTTCCCGGTCACCGCCATTTCCAAGAGATCTAGGTACGGCAAAGCCCCCTCCTCTCAGAGCACCGCCCCTAAACAAAGGGGAGGTAATTCTAAGGCATCGGACCAGTCCAAGCCAGGTACCCACATGGTAAGGCTTCTCTCCGGTGTGGATGCGAACGTGGCTTTTGAGGGTCTGTAGGTGGCGGAAGCGGGTCCCGCAGGTGGGGCAAGGATAGGGCTTCTCCCCGGTGTGGATCAGCACGTGGGCCCGCAGATGCGCTACCTGGGACAGGAGACTTCAGACCGCGCCTCTGGGAGGGAGAGAATTCTCCCTATTGGCCCGCCCAGCCCCTCCCCTCCCCCTTGCCGATTTTCCTCTGAACCTGCTCAGGGGCGGGCTCCCTACCTGTACAAAGCGAGAGCCGCACGTCTCACACTTATAGGGCTTCTCTCCTGAATGGATGCGGCTGTGCGTTTTCAGGTTAGCCGGCCGGTTAAAACGGGCTCCGCAGACAGCGCAGTGGTAGGGCTTTTCCCCTGCAGGAAGAGAGGACGGAAGGTCAGGGATTGCCCCAGGACAGTGGTGGGCAAGAAAGCCAGGGCCCTTTCCTCCCCTACCTGTGTGCACGGTGCGGTGACTGGCCAGGTTGCCTTTGTAGCGAAAGGCAGACCGGCAGAGCTGACACTTGTAGGGCTTGTCTTCGTCCCCAAGAGCCAAAGGGTTCAACCCGGAAGAGCACCCAGCCACAGCCTCACAGTTTTGGCAGCTGAAAAATTCACTTCCTGGGAAGGGAGGTGGGTAATGACAACCATAGTTATGTAATGAGGGCTTCCTAGGTACCAGTGAATCCTCGAACAGTACAGTATATTTTATTTTCCCCAATTAACAGTCAAGTCTTCTGGGACTCATTTGACTTTCAAGGCCGAGTAATAAGAAGGTTATAAGTAAGATGAGTCAAGACCTGACTCTACATCTGACTCCAAACTCTGCTGCCTATTGGAAGCACCTGGGGAGCTTTAAAAAATAAATGATGTCTGGTTCCCACTCCCAGATATTTTGATATATGGGATGTGACCTGGGCAATGGGAGTTTTAAAAGCTGCCTAGATAATACTTATTTGCAGTACAGTTTAGAAACCACTGGAATAAGCCTTTTGGTCCAAACTGGCCTGGAGCAGCCACAGGAGAAGAGCCAGGAAAGAGGGGCTCTTACCTGGTGGTGGACGAGCCTGCTCAGAGGGTGATCCAGAGGTCTCCTGAGCTCCGGATGTGAGGAGATGGGGAGTATTGTCTGGAGCCCCACATTTGAACTGTACAGTGGCAGCAGTTGGAGACAGTCTAGGCAGATGGTAAGGCCCGGAGAAAAGGGTTAGGAGAAATTATATGGAGGGGAGCTCTCTTCTGGGGAATTTGGAGCCAAAGGCCTACCCTCTAAAGGTAAGCCAATATTGACCAATAAGCCACATCCACTGTGCTGCCAAAGTCCCACTCCACTGAATAAGCCTGGCCTCTGGCCAGCCCCCTAAGGTGGGCTGGTATCTCTAAAACCCACTCCCCATCTCCCTGCCTCCTGACTATGAAGGCCCAAATGGCTCTGCCTCCTACTGAGGCCAGCCTCTATACATTCTTGGGGTTCCAGAGTGTGTACCTGCTCCGGGGACCAGGAATGGGTCCTTCTTCACTACTGCTGCTGCTGGAGGCCTCATCTCCACTGGGGAGCCTGGCTTGGGGGCAAGGTTGACCAGAACTCTTCTCCCCCATCTGGCTTCCTGCTTGGGAGGCCTGAGAGTTTAGCACGATGTACTTGTATTTTTTCCAGTTGCAGGCCTTAGGGTCCGGGCTGGCTGGACTGGGAGGGCCTTGATTGCAGCTGCGAGACTCAGTAGGTGGGTCTGGGTGCCCTTCGGAGCGCCTGGGACTGCCTGGTGGAGGGACCGTTGGGGGTCTGGGAGGTTCTGCTTCCAGGGGCCGCAAGGAGATGCCCAGAGGTTCATAGCTGGGAAAAGTGTGATAAACATTAGTGCCATTTCCCAGTCTCTGCCTTTGCCATTGACACCTGGGGCACCACCTCACCCACGGAGAACTCTGAGCCTGGCTCCCTCACCTGGCCTGGATGAAGCGGTGGCATGCCTGGACCACATGTTCCATCTGTAAGTAGGTGGCAGCGGCAAGGACGGCCGGTGCGGTGGCCGGAGAGAGGCGCAGGCGCGAAGTGTACATGAAGTCCAGAAGAGGAGCGAAGCCTCTGGCTTCAGGACCCCCGGGGAGAGAGAGCACATCTACCCCCACTCCCGCACGGCCCCGGAAAATTGAATAGAAGAAGCCACTGCAGAGAGGGTAAATAAGTCGTGTGAGGGGTTGGGGAGCCAAGGGAGACACGCGCCCCTTTAGAAAGTCCCGCCTCCTCACGATCACCCCGCCCCCGATTCCTCGACGCTCCGCCTCATGCTTCCGAAAGCGTGCCCTCGCAACGGACTTATGGCTCCGCCCCTGTCCCATTTGGTCCCGCCCCAGCCCCGGGGGCCCCACCCCTCGAACCTGCAGGCGATGAGAACTGCCTTGTGCGCTCTGAGGGGTTGCCCGCCAACCAGCAGCGTGACGTCGGTGAGGATCCCACGCAGGCGCAACTCGTTCAGATTGCCCAGCACGTCGGAGGAGTGGCGCGTGAACTCGCGGACGTAGCCCAGCGCTCCCTCCGGGGCAGCGGTGGAGCCCATGGCGACGCAGGCCTGCAGATGCCGCGGGAAGGGCTCAGGGACCCAGGCAGTCCCGAGACGCCTTCCCTTCTCGGCCTGTTCTTCCCGAGGTGCGGCTAAAGTCAGGGGCCCCGATCCCCAGTCGCGGCACGCGCTCCTCACTCATCTTGTTCATTTTGCCCTCTATTACATCGTCTCTGCCTTCCCTCTTCTAGACCTCACAGCGTTTGGAGCCGGCCGAGGGTTCCCACATCGCCGCGTCGTTGGCGAGCGTGGGGAAGCCGGCGCCCAGCGCCCTGAGTCCGACTCCTAGCGCGCCTTCAGCACCCCCACTCCCCTGGGCTTCGCGGCCCGCTTGAGTCCCAGGGCCCGACTCTGCCTCGATCCCTCACAAAACCTGCGGTCCGCAACCCTCCAAATCCTAGTCAGAGCTTCCCTCCCTGAACCTACGGAAATCTGTGAATCCTGCCTAGCCCCTAGTCTAGCCCAATTTCTGCCACTCCGTCTTCCTACCATCAACGGGCCCCAGCCCTCTTCGGGGACGCAGGAGTCTGGATCCCTCAGTCTCTCGTTCTTACCCCTGTCCTGCAGGGGCTGAGGCTCCTCTTCTTGAGGGGGGCGGGGTCTCTCTCCCCTCTTGGCCCCGGCTCCTTTATCTGGCCGGGATGTCGGGGGCGGGGGTGGAGGTGGGGTGAACGCCTGGGTCTGTATCCTTCCTTCCTCCCCAGCTCTCCAGATGGCGAGCCCAGGGCGGGGTCTCCATCTAGAGGGCGGGACCTTAGAAACGTTGGGTGGTCGTAACGTGCGGGGTTCTGGGTCACTGAAGATGGAACCAAAGATGAAGCTATTAGACGTGCGGGAGGAGATATCCAGGTTGGAAATATAGGGAGCTTGAGTCGTCGGAGGGCCTGGGCCAGAGAAAATGTGTGTGTTGGCTTTTGGGAGGGGATGCCAGGAGCCTCCTGTGGCAGGAGAAAGTTCATAGAGCAAAACACCCCCTTCATATGTACTGTGTTAAGGGGAAACCCAACGAAGCCTCAGGTTTGGGGAGGTGATGGTGGGCTCCCTAGGGTCTCCAGCGGGAGGATGTGGTGTGAATGACAGGGTCCTTCAGCCGGGCCTGCAAAAAAAGGGGGGGGGGGAGGGCTCTGACCGGGCGGGGTAGGGAGAGGGCGGATATGATTTCTAGTTCGTTTCCTTTCATTGTCCTGCGACCGGACGGCTCCGCCAGCTGCTTCCCCTCGAGGAGGTGGGGAAAGCCCCGAGGTGGTGGTGGTGGTGGTGGTGGTGGTGGTGGGGTGGGGGAGTCGAGAGGCGCTCGGGAGATCTAGACCCCCAGCCTCTCGTTCCGACTCTCTTCTCAATCATTTTAGGGATCCAGAGAAACGGACTCCCGCCCAAAACCCGCTCGCTCTCCCCCAATCCCAGCTCACTAGGGCCTCTGGCACCCGCCCGTCGGCTACGCTTTGAGGCTGGCGGGACGCCGGGGTCCAGCGCGGCAAGTAGGCAAAGCGCGGCAATGCTTGTCTCCTTCCACGAGGGGGCGGACGAGCACCAGCCTCGTCTCGCCCATCGTGTCCGCCCGGCGGGGAGTGCGCCCAGACCTGGGCGTAGGATCGCTTTGGTCTGCGCACCTGAAACCTTTGGCCTGCTCCCCTTTGCGCTGGTTAATTCTGCACCTCTGTCTCCTAGGAGGGGACTAGAGTTGGGCGGAGGGAGGTAGACTTAGGGGACCGAGGGGGCTTTCCCCTTAGGCTGGGGTTCCACCTGAGGTGAGAAATCTGCAGCTTTGGGAGTGAGGGGAGTGGGTGCGATAAGAAGCAGGGCCTGAGCCTTGCTTTCTCTTCTAATTAAGTGAGGCACTGTTATCCAGACGTCTTTGGAGGTGGATTTTTATTGAACATTAAATATGAAAATTGGGTGGGGAAAACAGGGAGGAGGGAGAAAGGGTGGGAGGGCTTGGCAACCTCTAGTTTTAAGTCCCCAAACTGAGATACAAGCATGAGTCACATATTTTGTTTGGGGAGACCTTGGGGGAGACAAGGCTCATTTGGAGAGGGGTGCTAAAGCTGACTCCAGCTGCAAAGCGAGAGCTCCTCGAATTTGGGCTCAGGAGAGTATACAGTTGAACAGGAATGACTGACCATTGTTCTAGAGGCCTGGGGCCCTCCCCTTAGATTCAAGTGTGTTTTTATTTGAGTGTATGAAAGAACAGCTGAGGAACTGGGAACTGGGGACCACTAAGGATTCAGGATGGTGAAATGGATTTGAGATGTGAGGGTTACTTTGGTCTCTACCCAGCTTGGAGGTGTGAATTAGACTAGGGGCCCCCTGTTGTAACAGGATGGAGTGTTACCTGGTCAGTTGTGACGTGCTTGTTTATTATGGGGTGTTGGGTTGATTGGTTGTTATGGGCACTGTGGACTGCTTTCAGCCTTGAGTGCCTATGGTAAGTGTGAGGCATGGGGCTGATTTTGAACTACATTAGTTCTGGGGGTTCTGACACCCACAATATGGAGATTGTGCTCATCTTTGTCATCTTGGGCTATCAGAGGAGTGAAAGTACTCATACTGATTTGGGGGTACAGTCTGTTTTGGGGTGTCATATGAGTTTCAAGGCTCATATTAGATGGGGACATGAAATTCAATTTGGAGTTTTAAAGTTAGTTTGAAGTGCAACATAATAAGAAGCTGGGAGCAAGTTTGAATGTTTTCTGCGATTGGGGGGGCTCGGGGGGAGGAACAAAGTTTTATATTTGAATCTTGTGGAAACTCACTTTGAGGGGGGATATTCCTGTGTATGCATGAATAGCCAATGAGCTTTTGGGGGGGCGAGAAACAGGGTGAGGACCCCCAGGGTAGCAGACTAAAGTTTTGGGGTGTCTTTATTTGGGGATATTTTGTTATACTTTGGGTGCTTTTGGTGAAGCTGAGGGATGGATCATAAGGTGAGATTGATTTGGGGGTTCACTTAAGTTGGAGCACTATTTTGGTTTGGGATGTCTTTTGCTAATAGTTCCCTTTCCCCCATATCCTAGAAATTTCTTTCTTTAGTGAACCCCCAAATAAACCTAGGATTTGAAGGGAGAAAATTCGAAAGAAAGGGCGTGGTATTTCTTCTTATTACTCTGTGGCCTGGATAGATCTGAGGGAAAAAAATGGTTTTGGACTCTGAACCCCAATTTCTTAAGGGAGCACACTTCAGTTTAGGGGAAGGTGGAGGAAAATGGGGTGTCTCTTGACAAAGTGGACATCCCTGACCAGGGCAGTGCTGTTGGAACTGTGGCAAGGAGGGGTGGTGGTGGGGTACAAGGAGGTGATTCTTGTACCCTGATTTTTTGGGATAAGAACCCCAAACAGAAAGCATACAGAGGACTGGAAGTGTGGGTGAGATGCGGGTGGGGGGGAGGGGGTACTCCCAACGGCAGCAGGGGCTAGAGGGTAAGCCAGGCCAGCTCTTCATGCCTGGGTCCCTGCTCTCTTCGGCTCTCCTCCCCTCTCTCCCTCCCACCGCCCACCCCCCCAACCCAAGAAAAAAAAACTGCCTGTGCAACAGCAATGGCAGATTCCAATCCTCCAGGCTTTCCTAAACCACCACCGAGACCAGCCAGGGGGGAGGGGAAGGGAGGATCGGGCTTTCCTGCTTCCTTAAGACGGGGGCAATGAGCTTGACCTCCTGGCCCCTAGCCCTTTGAGGAGTGCCCCCCCCTGGTCTGGAAGCCAGGTGTCCTGGACCCTAGCCCCCGAGCGGGGGGGTCTGGAGAGACGGGGAGGAGGAAGGAGGGAGTGACTTCCAAAATTGGCATCGGGACAGAGCAGGGCTGGCGGGAGGCAGGCAAAAGAAGGAATTTTCCTGAAAAAACGGGGGTATCTGAGAACCCCAAATTTGGAGAGCTAGTCCAGGACTGTCTTCCCAACATCCTAGATTTTTTGGGGATTTTTTGGGGACCCTGGGACTCCTCTAGATGGGGTGAGGAATGTAGTGTTGGGGGAATCTGACTGGGGCATTGCAGCTGCCTCTCCCGCCGAGTTGGAGACGGATGGGCTGGGACGGGTTTTGGGGGGGTGTCCCCAATTCTGACTGGGAGTGGAGGAACCCCCTCCTGAGCTCTCTTGTGGGGGTCCCCTCTTCCCAGGGCACTCCCCAGTCCCTGAGCCAGCCGAGAGGAAGGAGGCCAGCGATGCGACTGGGGCGGCTCCTTTCTCCTGCACCCCAAATGTGAGGGATGCACCCCAAATTTTGCTCCTTTCAAAATAGGGGACCAGGATCTCAGGGGAGAGTAGCTGAGGTAAGTGGGGAGGAAAGTGTCCCCTGTTTTCAGGAGAGACGTGGCGGTCGGGGGGGAGGTTTGGAGGTGCGTGCTGGGGTGGGGTTGGGCTTTGTCAGTCTTGGAATTGGGGGGATAATTGGAGAAGCTTTTCTTATGTCCCTAAACTGCCACCCCCCCAGATGGAAACCAAAGGCTGAGACCAGAGAGTCCCCCAACATCCCCAGCCGTTAGGATAGTGTTTGATTTCTTTTACACCCCCACAAAGGCTCTGCCGAGGGTGGGAGCTGGGGGCAGCTGTTCAGTTTGGGGGCTATGGAGGGTGCAGTGAAGAGAAGGAGGCCTTGGCAGGGTTTGATGTAAAGCAGATAGGGGTCTAGGAGGAGGGTCTGGCATCCTCGGGAGCCTAAAAGGACTGCTTACTTACACCACCTTAGATCTTTTTGATTGCTAAGAGTTTTGGGGGGTGTGTCAGAAGGGGGGTGGTAAAAGGTGGGATGGGACATGGGAGGATAACTTTTGGGTTTTTGAGGGTGTTATTTTGATTTGCAGAAGGAATTTGGCCCTTGGATTTTGCTTTCTGGGGGGTGCTCTTAACAAACCAAGTCCTGGGCAGGAGAAAAAGGTTTAGGGAAGGCCTAGGGTGGGGGGTGGGGAGAAGCATGTTTGCCTCAGCTTAAACGTGGCTCTCTGGGGTGGGCCCTCCTGTCCTGATCTGGTGGATGGACTGATGGAGGTTGCTTTGGGGGTGGGGCTTGGGTCCTGAGGGGCCATGGTGTGGAGGAACAGCACTGGGGGTCGAACACCTGGCCCACAGGTTCAGATGGCCCTCTTCCTGGGCCCTGCTGCTCCCCTTTCCCCCTGGCCTCCATTTTCTGCCTTTGGCCTCCATCTTGTGGCAGGCCCAGGGCCCAGGGCGACTTCCGGCCCCCCTCTCCCAACCGTGTTCCGGCCCCACCACCTCTGGACTGCCAACTCCCAAGCCTGCTGTCCTTGGCCCTCTGTCTCTCCTTGCTTTTCTCTTGGGTTCTGACCCAGGGAGGGGAAGGACGGACACAGGAAGCCTTGGGTCCCTGCCCTTGCTGAGTCGGGAGGCAGTCTGTTGGTCCCCCCCAGTCATTCCCTCTTCTTCTGCCTCTGACCCCACCCTAGGGATCCCCTGAGCTGAGTTCCTACAGAGGGAAGATGGTCCAATCTCATCACACGATGAGCTCATCCCTAGGTCTCTCTCCTTCCAGTTGTCTGCTCAGCTCCTGACCCTGGTTCCTCCCAACTGCTTTTGGGGCATGTTTGCCTTTTCAGCCTTCTGTCCCCCTGCTCTTGGTGGTGGGGTCCTCCCAGCACTGCCTAGTGCTCTCTTCCTCTCAACCCACCCCAGTCCTGCTCCCGCCCCAGCAGCACACTGTGGTTTGTACGGCACTGTGGCCACGTCCAAACCACACTGTGGTGTTAGAGCGAGGGTGGGGGAGGCACCGCTGAGGCTTGGCCCTGGGAGGCCATCCTGGAGAAGCGACACAAAAAACATCTGGGGCCTGTGACAAACTTCTTGCCAGGTGGAGAACGGGTGGGGTATGAAAGCACTGGAAACAGCCCTCTAAAATTCCCAGGGTAGTCTCAGGAATACAGTCTGCCAGAGACCCTGGGAGTAAATTCTGCCTCCAGAGAGCAAAGTGGAGTCTTTGTTGCCCACACCCAGCTCTCCTGGCTCTAGCAGCACAGAAATATTGGCACCGGGAGGTGAGTCTGCCAATATTGGCTGTGCTGCTCCAGGCAGGGTGGCGAGAGCTACTGAGGGAGGGGCTGAGCCCCTGAGGGCTGAGGAGAGAAGAGGGAACAGCCTTCTCCAGTTAATAACGTTAAAGTGACAGTACCAAGCTGAGAGGAAAATCTTTATTATTTTCTGTATAAAAATGTCCATCAGGTGGAGGTCAAAGGCTTTGGGGGCAGATGCTTTTACAGGAACAGTAAGGTGGACAGCCCCACCAGCCTTTAGGCCCTCTCTTGTGCAGGCCTTGCTCAGAGTCCCAGGCAATCCACAGGTCCAGGATGAACGGTGTGAGGGGTCAGAGGTGGAAGGCTCAGCGGGAGAGTAGGGGAGGATCAGCAGAGGTCATGAGAAGGCCAGATTCCAGGGTCAGGCTGTCTGGAACAGGAAGTAAGATGGGCCGAGATGGAGCGAGCCCCAAGTATGCTTCCAAAGACAACTCCCACCTCCCTGAAACACCCTGCTACTTACTGACCCAGTCCCCTGCACTGTGTGTGAGAACACTGTCTCTCCCGAAGCCCCTGTACAAGGGAGGGGCTCCTGCTGAGACCCTCCCCTACCATCAAGGTGAACACTTCCTCCCCAACCCCTTTAGCTAGTATGGGGGGAGGAGGACTCCTACCCTGGTCGAAGTTGAGTTTCTTAGCTGGAGGAGTTTCTCCTAGCCCTTCAATGTCCACCAGGTCACTGTTGGCATCGGAGTCATTCAGAGCACTGAGTGTCACATCTGGGAGGGGGGCATAAGCTAGGTTCCAGGTTCCCCTGACTGCCTCCCATCCCCAGTTCCCCAAAGCTTTGTGCTTGCCCTCCCCTCTGCCCTTCTTTAGGAACCTCCACAGATCAGGAAAAGAAATTTGTCCATCTTTGACCAGGCCCAACTCTCTCTGAATCTCAGATAAGAACTTTATCCTCTAGGCAGCAACTCCACAGCCCTCACCAGCCTTCTGTTTCTTTATGGGGGGACCCCCGGCCTCAGGGACACTGGAGCTGCTGGGTGGAGGGGCAGCTGGAGGAGGTGACAAGACACCAGAGGCCATCTTCTTGGGCCCTTTCTTGGGTGACTCAGTTGGAAGGGGGATGCCAGAGTCTTCATATACCTTGCGTTTCACAGTGGCCTTTATCTGAGCCCTGAAGAGAAGAGACAGAAGGTTAGGAAAGGAGCCATCAGAGAGGCTAAGGGAAGAAGGGAGGGAAGGGAAGGAATTCTGGGAGCCCCTTCATAAAAATCTAGGTCAGGGCCCCGCTCCATTGTTAGGGCTCACCTTTTCCTGAAGATGTACACTCACTCAGGGTAGATGGAATGTGAAGAGTGGAGTTCTTGAACTGAGTAGTAGGAAAGGCCTATCTCCTAATTCTCTTGAATTAGGAGAGAGATATGGATGTGGAAGGCCATCAGTAAGGCTTGGTGATTTACAGGTAGATTGGGACTTATTGATCAATTAGTTCAGAATCACAGTATCTCTGGAAACACTGTAGTACGGTCTCCAAAGGTCTATATAAATAACCAGGGAACTCCCTATCAAATACAGTCATTTAGTATCTCAGGCAATCTAAAATCAAATTATTGGAAGGCCCTGATTACCACAGCACTTTAGGAACTTCTGACCAATTGTGACAATTCTATTCTTTCAGTCCTCAAGGGGATTCTAACAACTAGCAACAAAGTAGGAAAGAGGTTGAGCTGGAAAGGAGTTCTGAGGAAGATGGAACAATGGGTAAGGAGAAAGAAAGCTGCCCACCCCCCTTTTTCTGCCGGCCAGCCACCCTCCCTCACACTGTCCGTTCCTTGATGACACAGCTGATGTGATTAAGATCGTCCCCAAATCGCTTCACAGCAGCCCTCAGCATCTCTATCTCCGTCTCCGTCCACTTCGCACTGTCAGAAGGGGAGAGGGGGGAATAGCAAAAATGGAAGGAGGGTGTGGAGCCAGCCTACAGGCTATGCATTCCACAGCCAACCAGCCTCCTCCTCCCAATTTCTGGGGCCCATTTCAAGGATCCATAAAGAGGTCCTCTTTAAAAAAAAAAAAAAAAGTCTCAAGGCCCTGCAGGAACCCTGAGGACTCCCAGTGCAGGAACACTCTCTCCCCCATCAACGTTAAACAGCTGCTGTCAACAGCACACTGAACCCAGTTCAACAAGTAGGGGACTTACAGACAGTACCCCTGAACACAGTCTGCAGCAATCTGAGGGTATCGCATGAGTTGGGGTGGGTGGTAGTGGTTGGTGGTGGTTTGTGGCCTGCAGGTTCATAGCAGGGCAGAACTGTGAAATGAGTCCGGGTTATGTGCCTCAGTCTGTTTTCATCTGTCATTCATTCCCTCATTCAGCAATCTTTTATTAACACCTACTCTGCGCTGTGCCAGGCACAAACAGAAACTAACATCTGTCCCTGTTCTAGAGGGGGTCCGTGTCTGTGATTGAGTCCAAGCGTCGGCTCTCAAGCATCCACGTCCCAGTCCGGGCTCACGTACCCCGCGGGGGAAGAGTCGGCCACGGGATGCAGTTGCATCGTCAGCTCTCCGAGCTTCGTGAAGGCGGCGCCCGCCGCCGAGAAAATTTCTCCGACCTGGGGGCGGGGCAGCGTTACGGGGGGCCGGCGCACACCCTCCGCGCGGTCCAGTCCGAAGCCCCTAGCCCCACCCCAGGCTCAGCTCCCGCCCGCCCCCCGCCCGGGGCGGAAGAGCCGGGAGCCAAGTGGGGGACCCGCCCTCCCGTGGCCGCCAGGGAGCGCTGTCCGCGAGGGAGGTCGAACCTTTGTGGACGCTGACGTCATGGCCTCGCGCGCCTCCTCACGGAGACGCCGCCGCTGCCGCTACCACGCGAGCCGGGACCACGGAGAGCCGGGTGGCTGAATGGCTCCGGTTCCCGCGCAGGAAGTCCCGCCCTCCCGGCAGCTGACTGGCTCAAGCGCGGCCACGCCCCACCCCGCCAACCACAGTAGCTTTGATTGCCTCGGCGCTCCAAGGCAAGAGGTGGAAGCCACTGCCTCACTTCCGGCCGGCTTCACTCCACTTCCGTCCAGGGGCCGGTCTCCCCTTCGGAGGCTGGCCTCCAGCCTCAGCCCCGCGTCCACCCCTCACTCAGGCACAGACACAGGCGTAAGAGAGCAGATTCTCTTTATTTTGGTACGGAACAAACCAAGGGGGCCGGAGAGACAGGGAACGGCAGTCCCAGCCCCACTCCACCGCAGCTGGATGCCAGAGAAGTGATTCAGTCTCTAGGGAGATCCAGTCCCGCTGAGGGACACGTAAAGGGTGGGGGCGCGACCCAGGTGACGGGAGTCTTTAAATAGAGGAGGGGCCTGGAGAGGGGAGACGGGACCATGCTCTAGCGCACCATGTATTCTTTGCGCTTATTGAGCCGAATTTGGCAGACAGAGAAGGCTCCGAGGAGGAGGTAAAGGCTGGCGGCGATGAAACAGTTGTAGCTGACTTGCTCGTAAACGCTGTATATGTTCTGGGGGCCATTCCTGGGGTTGGGGATTAGGCAGAGAAGTGTCAAACATCATTAGCAATCAGGATTTACTGAGCACTTACTATGTGCCTGGCACTGATCTGAGCTCTCTGATGTGTATCATCTCATTCAGTCTTCTTGACCATTCTGTTATGGTCTATTATAGAACCCATTTTGCAGCGGTAGGCCGAGGCACAAAGAAGTAAAATACTTAAAGAAGCCATACCTAAAGTGATGGGATGGCCGCTGAGGTCTGACTCTCAAGACTGCTCCTAACTACATTATGAAGAAAGCAGCTCTCTTCTCCCAGCTCCCTAACCTCGGAGCCCCAAGCATCCACCCTTCCAAACGTTAATTTTGACCTTAGGCTTAGCCACCCACCTGCTCCCAGCACCACCTCCTCCACCCGACTACTTACTCAAAATCTTTCTCCGTTAGGGGAACGTCCTCAATTAACACAGCGGAATGGACATTGAAAAATATTCCAAGCATTATCTGAAAAAAGGGAATGGGTTGAACTCAGCCACCTAACTTCCTGTTTCCTCCCTAAACCCCTCCCATTTCTAATGTTGCCACAACGCCCAGGCCTGGGATGAAGCAGAACGAGGTAGGATCAAGGGTGGTTATTGCTGGATTCAGACTCAGCCACCTGGAATAGGGCATGAGGTGGTGACACTGAAACAAGTGGCTGGTGCAAGGGCAGGAACAGTGCACAGCACATCTCTCCCAGGAACTCAGATTATCCTCCCCAGAGGCGTCATTATCACGGGACAATGCGGAAGAGGTGAGGGAGAACCGGCACTTCCTATTATTTCTTCTTTAAGTAGGGGCGGGTAGAGTCCCGGGGAAACAAGGCCAGGTATCCACTTCGGGAACAAGCACTCTCTTTCGCCCTATATCCTCCACTCGACTCAAGCATCTCTCAGGAACGCACCTCTTTCTCTTACTTAGAAGGGTCTCAGAATTTGCCAGCCCAGCTCCTCCCATTTCAGGCTCCACTTCCCTTATCATTCAACTTCAGTTGCTCTCCAGCAGCCAGTTGATCAACCAGCCCCTCCAGCCTGCCCGCTGTTTTCCAAGGCCTGGAATTTACCAGCCTTTCAGCCCTCCAGCCCAGGAGTCCCTGAGGCCCTGTCCGATTCTCGCCGGGGAGTCCCCTCACCAACATGATCACTCCCCAGGCGCTGAGGACGATGCCGCAGGCGGCCAGCTTCGGCCCACAGCACAGGAGCGACGCCATAAAGAACGGGGTCGAGGATTGCCGAGGTGTGAGCAAGGTGGAAAGCCGTGAGGAAGCTCTGGTTGCCCCGGAAGGGTTTCCAGAGGGGGCGTGGTCTCGGGGCCAACCATCCTGTCGGGTTGCGGGTGGCGGCAGACGGAGAATCCTGGGTGCTTCGGAGTTCTCTTAGGACTGGGGGAGGTGTCGGTGTCTGAAACTTAAGAGTGTTCTCTGAAAGTTTTTCTTGACCTATGTAGTTGGGCGTGAGTATTGGCAGAGCGAGGGTCTCCGGTTTCTTGGTCCTCCCCTCTCCAGATTGGAATGGGAGGGGGCCCCTGTCACGTGATCAAGCTTGACAAATCAAGTGACAAGGGAACAAGCGGTGATCCGGCCTCGGTGGGGGGAGAAAAGCCTAACTGGCATAGCTCCTGGTAACTTAGGCGGTGTGGGCTCTTAGGATTGGAGCCATCTGGTTTTTCCCTCAGATACCTTAGTCTCGGGTGGTATCCTGTGATGAGGAAATGGTAAGTGAGACGTAGAAACAACTAGAGAGAGCGCTTCTGTCTCCTGTCTCTTCCCCTTTAAAATAGGTATTCTGACACTAAAAGGAGTTAGGAGCTCTTTCCCGAGACCAAGCATGCTGTTGTAGCTAAAACGCTTTTAAATTGCTGGGGATTTCTGGCATTGGAAATGCTTCTAAGTAATATTATCACACTTGGAATACTGTATAGTTTTAGATGTCAAATCCAGGAAAAATAGGCTAGGAAAAGTCTAGGCAGACTTGATGAGCAAGTTGTGAAGGTGAGCAGCTTGTTATATGTATTAGAGAAAGGAGTAAGTACACACAGATGTCACTTTGCTTCCCTACTAAAGAAACTCTTTATAGGTCCTTTGAATAAGGTAGGATACAAGATTTTAAAATATGAATAGATCATCTTCAAAAAAGTTTATATACTTAAGTGGTGAGAGAAAGATCTACAATTATCTAGGGAAATAGGGATGTTTGAAGAACACAGTTTTGCACTGAACAAGTTATACAAGGACCACAGCTTAATGAAGAGGGATCATTTTGATCCTGAGATCCCAGAACCAAACAAGAAACACAGTCATTAGCTGAAATAATTTTATGGTATTTTCCCATTTTTTTACTCTTATGCATATTCTTTAAGGGTTGTGAAAGAGAACTTGGAACCTGAGAAACACATAGTGATCCCAGGGCATTAAAGGGGCTGGGAAAGTAGCTTTGAAACATGAATTTCATACCTCTTGTTTGGGGCTGTCTTGGGGGCAAGGGATTCCATTCTGTTCTAAAAACACCATTCTTATTAGGGACTTTTGGGGTACATGTGTGAATAGGAGGAATAGGGATGGAAGGAAAATTGCCAAGGAACAGTCAGGAGTTTGTGATTTGGCCACCAAGCATGAAGTTTAGTTTCTGGGAATGGAGATGTTAAATTAGTTGAGGTACCTGATTTCTCCAAGAAATCTCTCCCCATCTCCCCTCCATGATCCTGAATATTTTGGAAGTAGGGTCAGGGTCTTAGGATAGTGCAGGTTACAAGGGCAAACTTGTAGCCTGTGCTTGTCCCTTAAGCAAAGCATAATTTTTTAGAAGGCATTTTAAAAGGATTGAATAAACCAAAGGAAGAATAATATTTTGTAACATATTTATATCTCACTGTTCATAGAGTTTTATTGCAACACAGCCACATTCATTTGTTTACATATTGTCTGTGACTGCCTTCATGCTACAGCAGGAGAACTGAGTAGTTGTGACAGAGACTGTATAGCCTACAAAGCCTGAAATATTAACTGGCCTTTGCAGAAAAAGTTTATTGCCCTTTGGACTAGTGGAACACTGATGTAGCTAGGGGAAGAGATAGAGCCTTAGCAGCAGAGACTTAGGTAAGCATGAAATTCAAGGTGGAAATGTCAGTCCTAAAGCAAAGTCCTGATGTGAAGTTTTGCACCTCAGGATTCAGATAGTGATACTGTTCTCTATGTGGCTGGGCTTCAGATATTCATAGGGTAGGTCAAGTTGTTCATTACGGGCTGTAATTTCCTTTTCCAAGTTTTCCAAATCTGTTTGGAATTGCTTTAGCACTGCTTTGGCTTTGGAGCCTGAGAAATATTTTTCTTTGTGATGTCCCAGAGGCACCTGAGATTGAACAAACGATCAGTCAGTTTCTAGTCAGAAGACAGAAGTACCTAGAGTCTAGCTCCTCATCCTTCATGTTTCCTTTCTAACTGTTATTTCCCTTTCCCAAGAGTCCCCTCTCACCATATCTGGCTGGCGGCGGCCCAGATGCCATGTGATGGTCATTTGAAGACAGGCCTGCTGGACATCAGGTAGTGACCTCATCACTGTGGCCATTGTCACATCCTCCTTGGTACTGGGTGGGGGCATTCGCATTGTGCATGGGGCATTAGGGACCCAGGCATACCAGTCCAGCTGGGGGAAGAAACTGCAACCCTAGAACCCTGGTACTTAGGATTTGAATGCCCATCTCTCCCTCAGGTCTCCCAAGGTCTAGACACTTGCCTTCAGGGACCTGGGCTTTCAGCTGTCCATACCTGGCCCTGGTTGATGGCCCCATGCTGGGCAGTGCATGTGAAGACACACATGGTAAGGAAGTGGCAGAGTTGAGTCTGGGACTGGAAGGAGATAGGGAAACCTGGGCAGAAAAGGAACAGGATTTAGAGGCTACCACATAAGCGGAGAGAAACAAAGACTGATGTTTTGGGATGTCCATATTTTAGAATTGATAAATGTTTAGTTATATTTGCATCAGACATAGGTTTGAATACTGGCTCAATCCCTTAAAATTTGGTTATCTTAGGCCAGTTACTTAACTTCTCTGAACCTTAGTTTTGACACCTGTAAAATGTAGATGATACCTACATTATAAATGAAATAATGTATCAAAATCACGTGGTAGGTAATCAGAGCTCAATAAGTAATATTTATTGTTATTATGAAGGGGTTGGGGGCTGAAAAGTTCTGAGTGATCATATATCCCATGCCTCAAAAAGTGGTTAAGAATTGAGGAATGCGTCCTCTTAGTCCCAGACAGGAATTACAAGTTTCTGTGTTATAAGGTGAAGAATAAGATAAATCATGGATTTTCAATGTCACAGCTAAGAGTGATTTCCCACAATGGTTATCTTAGACCACTCATTTTACAGTGGATGTGGGAGCTCAGAGTCTCAATAATCCTGTTAGTTAAGTGGAACAAATAAAATTACTCTCCTTTTTTTTTTTAGATTGGAAAATACTGTTTATTTAGAAAGTAAATGGGGGGGGGGGGAGAGGAGATTCACTTCCCCAAGGGAGAGAAGGGGGCCAAAGCTTAGGAAACATGACCTAGCCATAGCTCAAAGAGCCATGTAGCCAGACCAGAGTTTAAGCAAATCAACGGCCAATTACTCCCATTTTATAGGTAAGAATATCAAAGACTAGAGACATTAAACGCTTTGTCAGGATCACACAGCTGGTAAAAGGCAGAGCCAGAGTGACACTGAACTAGGGTTCCTGACTTAATCCCATGCTGTTTTAATTTTAGCACTTTCTTTAAAAAGTTTCTTGGGAAAATTAGGCAAAGGTGAGCTACGAGAACTGAGAGAGAATAAGGGAGCAGTAAGAATGAGAGGAAGTAAGTGTGTATGTGTCATGAACTGAATTTCAGCACCCTCTCCCCCAATTCTTATGTTGAAATCTGATCCCCACTGTGATGGTATTTGGAAGTGGAGCCTCTGGGAGACAATTAGGTCTTGAGGATAGAACCCTCATGAATGAGATTAGTACCCTTATGAGAAGAGGATAGAGAGCTAGCTAGCTCTCTTTCCATCATGTCAGGATATAAGGAGAAGTCTGTTGTCTGCAACCTGGAAGAGGACCCTCATGAGAAGCTGACTGTGCTAGCACCCTGATCTTGGACTTCCAGCCTCCAGAACTGTGAGAAAAAACTTTCTGTTGGTTATAAGCTACCCAGTCTGGTACTTTGTTATGGCAGCCCAAACTGACTAGGACAACATGAATATTTATTTTAAATTTCTAAATGTAGATATTGTTTGGGGAGAAGATGGCCAGAAACAGAAAGAAAAGTGAGAAATACTGGAGAAAGTTTGGTCCTGGGAGGGTGGGGTAGATTCCCCAGGGAAAGGCTCCCTCCAGGGTGCAGGTGTTTGCTACACCACAGAGGCAGAGGATGGTATTCAAGATGTTGGTCTGAAGGGTGAGCAGGAGGGGCTGAAGTATGATTCAGAGAAGTCCAGGCTGGCTCCTGGATCTTAGAGGAGGATGAACCCAGGAAGAGCCTGCTCAAGAAAGGCTATTTCTTCCCTAGAGGTTAAAATGTGGGAAGTGAGGGGTGACTAAAGGTAATGGCTACATTCTGGCTGGGGAGGGTGTAGAAGGTAGGGAGAGAGGGTTGAGTTGGCCAAAGAAACATGAGCCCCAAGGATCAGGGCACCAAGTTTGGGTTTGAGCTAGATCATGTATAGTATTCATTTTGCATCTAGACCTTGTACTGTTGCAAGTGTGTAGTATTCCTAGAGCCTCTGCATGTGCTGGACAGTAACAGGCAGGAGAAGGGAGGGAAAGCCAGGGTGGGTCATCATGGCTTTGGGGGAAAGGTATTCCCATTTATGTACGTAGGAAGAGAAAGCATCAGCCCTAGCAAGGACTGGGCAGAAACCCTCACTGGCTGTGGTGAAGGTCAAGGGTTTCTGTGACGGGCTGGGGTAGAAATAGGGCTTGATGACCAGGGTCTCTGAGGACAATCCTTGGGTATTTAGAATTGTCCTGAGTCTTAGGAGGTGTGAATGGGATTCAGATGCTTCCCTGTGTCAAGGGAGAAGGTGTGATGAAAGGTTGGGGTCCTGTCTCCAGAAGGGTGGGGCTGGGGAGGAACTCTGGCAGAGGCTTCCAGGAGCTCCTGACTCTAGGATGGGTCTTACCTCGATCCTGGGCCTGGCACAGCCCCACCTCTGTGATTTCCCGACACCAGGCCTGCAGCTCAGGGTCCCCCCTCACAACGTCATCCCTTTGGTAGAAGAGGTGGATGATCCCCTCCACGTACCTGCCCAGAGAAGGGAGTTGAGTCTCTGAGGATAGGAGGTTCTAGCCTCTGACCTCTACTCCTCTTTCTGTGTCATCTGCCCAATGCTTCTACTGTATCTGGGGAGAGACCTCACAAGACTTGCTTTTGGGATATCCCTATACTTTAAACACACTAGTGTCTAATGGAAGGAGATGTGGGTCATTAGTTCTAGGAATTCCCTCTCCATGGTTGCTAGCCATTCTTTCTCACAAAATCCTGATTTCTTTTCCAGACCCCTCTGACTCCCCACTCACAGTTCTCCTCACCTCCATTCTCTGCCCCACCCCAGTGTCTTTCTTTTTTGGGGGGGTAGGAGTCTTACTCTGTCACCCTGGCTGGAGTGCAGTGGCATGCTTATGGCCACTGCAACCTCAACTTGCTGGACTCAGATGATCCTTCTGCCTCAGCCTTCTAAGAAGCTGGAACTACAGGCATGTGCCACCATGCCTGGCTGATTTTTTTCAAAATTTATTGTAGAGTTGAGATATATCCATGTTGCTCAGACTGGTCTCGAACCCCTGAGCTCAGGTAACCCCCTCGCCTCTACCTCCCAAAGTGCTGGGATTACAGGCATGAACCACTGTGCCCAGCTCCCTGTTTCATTTGAGGAACCCACCCTCTATCTTCTCACTCTTCCTTATCTCTCCCCAGAATTGAGTTGTCTGCTCTTCCTTGCCTGGACCTCCTCATTTTCACTTTGCTTTTGCCCCATGCTGACCTCAAGCCAGAGCCCCCGCCTCTCCACTTCCCATCTCCCTCTGCTCTCACCCACCGGGCAATGATATCCCAGAGCTGTAGAGCATCGTGGGCATAGAGAGCACTTGGGATTCCCACCAGGCCCCGCTCAGCCAGGTCGTCAGGAGGACAGAGGGAGCAGTAGGTCAGCTGAGCCGCTGCCTGACGGAGCAACTGCACATGGCCTCCTCCACCTGTGCTCACTACCTGGATCAAGAGAGATGACAGGTCTCCAGGGGAGAAACAGGGCTGGAAAATCTTGTCAGACTACATAAAGGGGACAGATATGGGGTTTTCAGTTTTAAAGACATGGGTATAAAAGGGAAAGAGGTTCATGGGTTAACAGTCAGGACATGCATACATAGTTAGTCTTGGATCCAGAAAGGGGCAGAAAGTCATAAATGGATAAGGCAGTCCCATACTCCATTACCTCCTTACCTTATCAAATATTCCTCCATCTGAGATAAGTTGTGTCCGGGCCCGGGTGTTGATTTCCATGGTGTAGCGGATATGGGGGATCAGGAGCTGAAGAGGAGGGGATTGGAGGAGCTGGTTAGTGAAGGCCATGCTTCCTTGTAGGACCTGGCACCCAGTATGATGCCTTCTCTCCTTTTGATGCTTTGCTCCCTGATGCTGTCTTGATGGGCTGGTCTGCTGCTGCTTTTCGGGTCACTTGCTCTCATTCTCTCCAACTTGCCAGTGAGTTGGGCTCTGGAGCCCCACTGAACTGGATTTCAACCTACATTTTAGTAACTGGCCATGTTAATAATCCTGTAATCTGCAATCTCCTCATCTGTCAACAGGGGGCGATAACAGGCTCTCTTATCTCAGGGCTGTGGTGAGGCTTATGTGAGTGGTGTGTGAAGAGTATTTAGTACACACAAGTCCTGGAATAGTAGTTGTTGTCTTTATTATTTTTACCTTGAGCGTAGATGTCTTTTAAGAATCAGCCCTTTTTGATTTTCTTTTATACTTCCTCTATCATTCACATCCTTAGGCTTAAACTAGCCTCTCTACTCATTATCAAAGCTGCATCTCTATCCTTTAGTTGTTTCACTGTCTGGTTTCTTTGAGAGGTGGGTGGAGAGGGTACTTGCAGTGAGGATTTGAGGAACTATATGGAGCTACCAGCTTAAACAGTAGGAATCTGTCCCCATTCCCCACTTAGACACTGTTAGGTCCCCTTGCTCCTTTCCATAGCTATTACAAAAAGCTGCCTGATGATTACATGTGTTTCTTTTTTTATCTCAGACTATTTGTTTTCTTTTTCACATAGTAAATATGCAGGTTTCTTGCAATTTTGGGATTCATCTGAATTGTTGATTCTCCACATGATGAACGACCCAAGCAATACCTTTGGTGTTAACATATCAAAGTGGCTGGACATGGTGTTTCACATCTGTAATCTCAGCATTAGGGGAGGCCAAGGTGGGAGGATTGTTGGAGGTTAGGAGTTTGAGACTAGCCTGGCCAACATAGTAAGACCCTATCTACAAAAAATTTGAAAAGCTATCAAAGCAACTCAAATTAGTCTGAAGCTTTTCAAAAAATGTAGGAAAGACACCAAATGCCATAGAAAGCCTAGAGCCCACATGAGGAGAGAAGATGCCTAAGAAGAACAATCCCTAATAGTAATAATAATTGCACAAACTAGCCTGGCACGGTGGTTTGTACCTGTAATCCCAACTACTTGGGAGGATCACTTGGCAGTTCAGGAGCTGGAGGCTGTGGTGAGCTATGATTGTACTACTGTACAGCGTGAGATGTCATCTCACTTATTTATTTGAGTTGGAGTCTCACTCTGTTGCCCAGGCTGGAGTGCAGTGGCATGTTCACGGCCACCGCAGCCTCAACCTGCTGGGCTCAGCAATCCTTCTGCCTCAGCCTTCCAAAGTAGCTGGAACTATAGGCATGTGCCACCATGCCTGGCTAATTTTTTGATTTATTGTAGAGATGAGGTCTCACCAGGTTGCCCAAGCTTGTCTGGAACCCTTGGACTCAGGCAGTCCTCTCACCTCAGCCTCCCAAAGTGCTGGGGTTACAGGCTTTAGCCACCACACCTGGTGAGACGCCATCTCTTAAAAAAAAAAAAAAGACAAGAACTAATGTTTTTTTGTAGGATTTAGCATGTGTCACACTATTATGTCACTTTATCCTTTCAAAACTCCATGCTGGAAATCCTGCTATCCCGAATTAAAGATGAGGACATCTGGTAAGTAATAAGGTTATGATTCAGGATTCAGACCCCAGCAAACTGAATCCAGAGCCTGCACAGGTAGCCTTTATGACATCTGCAGGCTTGTGTTCAATAACACCTCAGCTATTTGCCTGAGATGATGTTGCTAAGGTGAGTAAAGACCCCGGGTAAGGGTGGGGAGCTGGAGTAGTAAGGGGAATTGTAAATGTGAATAGAGACTTTGCCTATTCAAGTGGAGCAGAAGATGGTGATATAGGAGACATCATGAGAAAAATAAAATCCAGGATTCTATTAATCAGATTGGTTTCCATCTTGTCTATGTTACCAAAGGTGTAACTCCATATGGGTCACAGCTTTACTGGTTAGGCTTGTGGGGTCTGAATGGAGGCCCCCAACTGAAACACAGTTCAGTTGTTTCTCCTTACTAAGTTGCATATCTTCTCCTTACCACTTGCAAAGCTTGTGAACATGTCAAACACCATGTACCCAAAATTGAGCATCTCATTTTTGCCCTCACTGTGGCTTCTTCTAACTTTCTGTTTCTGACAATTACCCTAGTTCATAATCTTGTATCACTTTTTTGCCCCCTCTGCCATGTTCCCTATATATAAAGTATCATCAAGATTTTGAGAACATTTTTTTAAGCAACCATAAGTCTTACTTTGCTGCCTTCTGCCTAGCAGTTGATACTGAACTTAATGTTTTATAAAATTACAGTTTTTAAAAATTGTTCTCTTTTTTGAACAGATGGGGTATTGCTATGCTTCCCAGGCTGGTCTCTTAACTCTTGGCCTCAAGCAATCCTCTTGCCTCAGATACCCAAAGTGCTGGGATTATAGGCATGATCCTCCACACCACGCTTTTAAAATTATATATTTCTATGTCAATACAAAACACCCACCCTGTGGGCTTCTAGGTGTTGCAGAAGCTTGGACTTGTGACTTTTCTTTCTGTATTCTTGCACCCAGGCACACTGCAGCTTATGTTTCTCCATTTACCAAGTCTTTTTCTTGTTTTTTTTTCATTTCTGTCACCACCATGCTTATGTACATCTTTATCTGTCTTCCTCTCAGGCAGGTATACATAGCCTACTGGGCTGCTCTCTTTGCCTTTTGATCTGTTCCTACTTGTCTGACTCCTCAGATGGGGTGAAACATTCTCTATCAATTCTAGACTGTTTATATAGGCTGTCTCTTGTGATTTCAAACTCTAGTTCTAGATATTGTTCTTGGGTTGGTTCTTATAGCCACCATTTGTGGCTAAATACTAAATCTAAGGCAGGAATAAAGATTTTGTTTTAATAACAATATCTAAGCTATACTGGAAGCTCACTGTTAGATTGTCAGATCTGAGAATTTCAGAGGGTTCTCGTATAATGTATCCTAAAGAAATATTAAGTGACTGACTTAATTAAAATACGAGTTTCAAGATATTAATACTGTCTTCTCTTGTTTTCCCCTCTTTCACTCACACATTGCTATACAGAGTTTCTGCTGCTACAGTATTACTTAATATTGGGCTGCTCTTCTCTCTGGGGTCTGAGGGAAATGGGAGTTAGAGAGTAGAGCCTGTACCTTGAAGATAGGGTGCAGCCCTGGGAGGCATCTCATTGTGGCGACAGCAATGACCTCAGCCACCAGATGAGTGTTCAGCAAATGATACTGGAGCTGGTGCAGTTGGAAATCTGAATTTCGGACCCAGGACTTTGCCAGGAGCCAGGCAAGTGGGGGATCTGAGGGCAGGAATAGTGTTGGGGTTGGGGAACTGGGTTTGGGAGGCTGGATCTGGGAAAAAGAAAAAATCATTTATTATATTCGTAGTCTATATATGACATTATGGTTAGCATTCTTGAGGAAACAGATGATTAAGTAAGACTGTTGTCTTCCAGGAGATTATAGGAAGAATGAAAACCCTTCCACCCTGCATCTCACTACCTGCATCTCAGGTTAAATGCAGGAGGGAGTCCAGTAAGGAGGTCCTGACAGTGGTTTGGGAGAAACATGTAGGGGTCAGAGTTCAGGTGGTGATGGAATGTGAAGGAGATGCTGGGTGTGTAAGATTATTGACAGTAACAGTCGACATTGTCAACTGACTGTTAAGAATAGTGAGAGAGGCTGGTCCAAGAGCAGTAGTGTTTACAAGTAATTGATCACAACCAGTTACAGACTTCTTTGTTCCTTCTCCACTCCCACTGCTTCACTTAACTAGCCTTAAAAAAAAAAAAAAAAAAAGAACAGTGAGAGAAAAGATAGTCAAGAGACAATGGGTGTTCAGAATCAGAGGCCACTGGAGAGATTAAACAGTGATTCTCAACATGTAGTACTGAACTAGTATCATCAACATTAGTTTGGAATTTATGAGAAATGCAAATTCTCAGTCCCTGTTCCAGACATACTGAACCAGAAAGTCAGGTCTTGGAACCCAGCAACCTGTGTTTTAACATGCACTTCAGGTGACTGTGATGCACACTGAAATTGGAGAACCACTGGATACAGGATGAGAACTCCAAGAGTCCATATGATTTTTGAACAAGTACTTCCAGTTGAGTGGCTCAGGGGAGACTAGGAAGGAAACAGTGACACGAGGACAGGTTTCTTAAAACCTGTGAGAGTGAGTGAGAGTGGAGTTTGGGAGCCAAGAGCCAGGGAACTAGGTCCCTGGGGACAGAGGTTGAGGTGAACAGAGCACAGTGTTGAGAGGGGTCTGCCCAGGGTATCTCACCTGGATAACCATGGGTAGAAGCTTCCCATTGGCTTCCATCTTCAGCATGACAAGGGGAGCTGCCAGGTGCTGCTTCTCTCCCTGGATCACGTTGGCTGAAATTCCATCAAGCAGGATAAAGTCAGCTTCAAACAGGGAACTGTTCTGGGGAAGGAAGAAGGTATCCAGTTTTAGAGTTTAAAGTCTACCCACAGAAGACCAGTGCAAAGGGTAAGACAAAGTTTAGTCTAGCTTTTTGCCATTGTCGTGCATCAGTACCAGAGTCCTGTTGGAAGAACTAGCACCTGGTCCAGTTCTTCTTTTTTTTTTTTTTTTTTTGAGTTGGAGTCTCACTCTGTTGCCCAGGCTGGAGGGCAGTGGCATGCTCCCGGCCACTGCAGCCTCAACTTGTTGGGCTCCGGTGATCCTTCCGCCTCAGCCTTCCAAGTAGCTGGAACTACAGGTGAGGACTACCACGCCCGGCTAATTTTTTGATTTATTGTAGAGATGAGGTCTCGCCAAGTTGCCCAGGCAGGTCTTGAACCCACGGGCTCAGGCAATCCACTCACCTCAGCCTCCCAAAGGTGCGGGATTATAGGCTGAGCCACCGAGCCTGGCTGGTCCAGTTCTTCTTATTTGAAAGTGAAGAAACAGCCTAGTGAGGGTAGGTGTCTTGTGCATGAATATGTGGTAGCAGATCTGGGTTTAGAACCAAGCCTGCTCAATCCAGTTTGTATCACAGGCATGGTAAATGGACCTTTGTCAAGATGGCCAGGTTCCTTTCTGGTCATCCCTAATAGTCTTCTCTCCCATCAGCTCAACAGATGTTCTTTTACTTCCTATTCAAATCTCACCTCCTCTGCCAAATATTCTACAGAGCTTCCCCTAACTGCCCCTGCCACCAAATACAGCACACACACATACACACACAAACATCCATCCTTGGCTCATCCTCCTCAAATACAGCTCTTCTAACCCCAGTTCTCTTTTTCTAGAAAACCTCTCTGATTCCCTCCACCTGATGGCAAATTCTTCACTTTTCTCCTCCCCTTGAACACTGAAGTTCAGAGCATTGACAGCCAGGGTATGTCCGTGTTCTTGCTAACATATGTGGCCTCTGTTTGTCCCGTTTCCCCCTTCATGCTGGGATCTCCTGATCATTTTTCCCCTACATAGTTCACCATTTCTATATTTTCCTAGTACAAGATTCTGCACCCTGCACCAAGGGGCAGTGGATTACTGCATCCTCTCTTCCTGCGACTCATTTTGGTGTTTCTCCTTCACCAGTTCTCACCACACTACTAAGGAGAGAATAGTGCCAGGCAGGGGGAGGTACCTGGAGTTCTTTCTCCAACTGTGCCCGAAGCTCCTCTGTCCCTGAGGGCAGCACTAGCCTGGAGGGCAGAGAGGTGGAACGTCTCAACAGCATGGGGTTGGCGCCATTGAGGAACTGGTAGCCAAAAAGCTCATCATCCTGCCAGCACTGGTGGACCTTTTCTGTAGGGTGGGAGATCGGAGGAGCATATTTACCCAGTCTGGAAATCCCTCTCCTCCAGGCTCTGCCACAGGGATTTGGGCATATGATCCACCGTGTACCCAGCCCCTTTTCATTCTTGAGGCCTCTCTGAGATGACCAGATATAAGGTCTCCTCTTGCAAGGAATTATGGGGATCTATAGAATTTGATGAATGGGTCATCAAAAGGGGCCATCAAGGGGAACCACTGACCAGCCAGGGCACTCTTCTGGCCCCAGAAGATCTGATCAAAGTCTTCTAGGCGGTTCCAGGAGCTCAGGAGGGTGTAAACACGTTTGAGGACCATCTCCAGAGCCCTAGAACAGGTATCGAGGCTTGAACCCATCAGCTGATCCGTCAGTCCCTCACCATATACCATCATTCTTGGATCTCCCAGCCCTTACTCCACTGAGCTCCATCCTTTTTCTCACCCTGCCTTCAGTGTCCATTCAAAGTCCAGCCTCTTTTCCTCATGGAATCTCATATTTGGAGGTAAATCATCCTTACAGTCTGCAGCTATGGTCAGGGGTAACCCTTCTTTCCAGGTAGCCCAGCTAGGAGTTAGGGGACAAAGATTCAGGGAGGATGTCAAGGTTAGTGATGGGGGCAGGGTCAGAGGAGGGATGGGACAATTGGAAAGCCGATGGGTGGGTGTTTACCAGTAGATCTTCTGTCTGTCCTTCAGTTCCTTTTCTCGATACTTCTGGAACACGTCCAAGGCATTGTCTCCTGCCAGGCGGGCTGAGGAGACATTGAGACAATTGGTCACACAACTTTGGTCCTGTGCTCTCCCATGCTTGTCTTCACCTTTTTTTTTTTTGTAGTGATACTCCATGCTTTCAGTCATGCACTCTTGCTTTTATCTCTGGCTTTGCCTCACTTGATTGATCGTCCCAACACATTTTTCCCATCTTTGCCAACCTTGCACTCCTGATTTTACTTATTTTGGCTCTCATCTGTTGCCTGTAGACAGCAGTCTCATGTTTGCCATCCTTTCTTGTTCCTTAACTCATCTTCCCCACCTGACCTTATTTTACCAATATCTATGGTTGGAAAAAAAAATCACCTTAATTAAGGTGATAAAATCTTAGTCACTCGCATGTCCACACCTATCTCCACACCTATTTCCTACTACAAATCGCTCTAGTTTCATGTCTTAAGCCTCACTGGCCACACCTCCACCTGTCTGCAAAATATTGTTTTTTGTTTTTTTGTAACCTGACTTCACCATCATAGTCTGTATTTATTGACTTGTTGCTGCTCTTTTCTGCACTTATATCACCTGTTGCATGGTCATATGTTTCACGTTCCTATCCTTACTGCTCGCCCTTGTCCTCATTTGTCTCTGTATTCATCTCTCTTTCACTTGCTTCCCATAGTAAATAAACAAATAAATAAAAATATTTGCTGTCCCACCTTCTGTCAGCGTGCTCCTTGTCCTTCGTGGTTGTCTTCCGTGCTATTCCAACCAAAGGAGCTCTCCAACAGCATATGGCTTGTTTCCCTTTGCTGTCCCCTGTCACGGGTCACCCTCCCTCTCTCCTTGTGGTCCCCTCACCTGACCCTGCCCTAATTTGTTCTGCGTCACATGGAGATGTCATTTCTACTTTCACTTTGCTTCTCTGTTTTCCTTCATCTCTGCAACTCCCACTTCCTGCCCTCTCCTTGTTGAAAAGATAGGATGGCCCGATCATTTACTCCCCGTCTCCAGCCTCACTCACAGCCTCACTCAGCCTGTGTCAATTTTTGGGAATTCATAACTTCTTCCTGTGTCCTGTCTTGCATCTTGCGTTCTCCAAGCTTAACCTGCCCTGTGCCCCTCCTTTCTCTGCGCCCCTCCGACCTTTCTCAGCCCTATCCCACTCCCACCGAGTAGTCCTCGCGCCCCCTTCCCCGGCGCTGCCCGCTCACCGGTGCCCTCGGGCAGGCTCAGGACGCCGTCGCCCTGCACCCAGCGGTAGCACGGGAAGGCGGCCTCCGCGCAGGCTCCAGGGCCCCGCACCGTGATGCGGTCGCAGAACCACGCGTCGTCCACCAGCGAGCGGCGTTTGCGCAACTTCACGAACTGCAGGGGCCCCAAGTCCTCGGCCACGTCCACATCAAACTCCTCCTCCTGTGGGGCCAGAACAGGCCAGACTTTGAAAACTTTGGTCTATTGAGGTTGCCTAAAGGAGCGGCTTCGTCCTCTTCTCCGCACAACCTGCCCCGTCAGTCCCGTGTCAGGGAAGGACGAGGGACCACAGAGCCTGGCTCGCAGGGACTTGAATTGATTGAACATCACGGCCAAGACGGGTCCCATTAGCTGAGTTCTCACCGCGCCCGTGCTTGGAGGAGCTGCAAGGTCGACCACTGGTCTTATATTTACACGGGGTCTGGGTCATTGGAATTGGAGGTTGCCAGGACTAGGGTCGGGGGAGGGGAGAAGGGAGTTGAACCCAGCCTGCGCTCCAGGCTCGCGGCCCTCTCCCTGACCTCTCCCCGCGGCGTCCCAACTTCGTGGAAGTCCCAGCCGGCGTGGTCGCGCGGTCACCACCCCCAGCCTCCGCCCTCGCCCTCCTCTTGAGCCCGGCCCCGGGTCTCCGCTCCCCCGCTGACCTCGCCCCGCGCGGGCCTCAGCTGCAGCTCCAGCTCCGCCTCCCCGAGCGCCCCGACCAGCCACAGCTGCACGCAGTTGTGCGACCCGGAGAAAAGCCAGGCCCCGGTGGCCACGCGGATGCGGTAGCGGCTCATGACGTCCCCCCGGCAGCTTAGGCGAGGGGAGCCGGCGCCTCAGGGCCAGTTCGGGCCTTTAAGAGGTGGGTCTGCGGCCCCGCCCTCCTCGCAACTTTTAGGCGCTCCAAAGTCCCCGCCCCAGACTAGCCCGAACCTGCGAGCAGAGCGGTAGAGCCGGCTGTGGGGACCGGCTGTGCCTCCAGGTCGGAGTGTAGCCGCAGGAAGATAAAGGGGCCCTGGCCAGGGGGAGGTCCAAGGGTGGTGCGGCGGGGCCTTTCTGGACCTCCCGGGAAGCTCGGGGGTGGTGGTGGTGCAGGAGCCTCCGGGTCGGAGCGAACAGGGATGAAAACACTTCCTGAGGTCTCCAGGTCTTTTGAGAAGCTAGGAGGAATAGGGGGCAGGTCCCTGCTTTTCTGGGGAAGGCGGTGGACTGGCTTCTGGGAGGCTGCCCTGGCCTCCCGGGATACCCTGCTGTTAGACCCCTGCGGCCCTTTAAGTCCTCCACTATCTGATCTCTACTGCCTCTGAGTCTTGTCTTTTAAAAATGACCAGGGGTTCCCAGGTTTCTTAGAACCTGGAAAAGTAACAGCTCAAGACCTCATGCCCGGTTTCAAACATCTGGGCATTAGGATCCCAAGTACACCAAATATCATGGGCTAGACCTCTTGAGAGAGGCCCAAGGCAGGACAGGGAAAGCCTTATTTTGTCTAACCTCCTTAGTGGGTGCAGAAAATGTTAGGGACCCAGGAATACCAGTCTGGGTGTCAGGATACAGTATGAAATTGCCTAGGGACCTAGCATATATGGGCAATTCCCATGAACTTTATCCTTTCCAAGTGAGTGCAACCACTTCTCCTTTGGTAGGTTCCAGGTTTTTGTTCCTAAAAGGTATTTCCTGGTCCTTCATGACCCTCTGGGTAGAATATCCAGGGACAGCAGTTGGGCCAGTGCTGGTTAAGGACTTTATAAATATGGGTGATTCGAGGCTCAGTCTTTGTCACCCATTCAAGAATCAATCAGATGAAGCCTGCTGCACAGGTCTGTATCTAAATCTTCGTGAGTCAAGTCATTATGGGTTGCTTTTTGAGCCAGATTTCAAAAGACTTGTGCTGGTTGTTGGTAGAGCAAAGTGAGATGAGGGGAGGGCTCTAGTCCTGCTTTCCAGCCTCCAGACTTCCCAGAAATGTCTAGATGCCGTTCCCCTTCTTATCTTCTAGGCCCACTCTTGCCAACATCCTCTGTGCCCTGAGTGTCTGCCATTTGCCAGTCCTCAGTTCTTCCAGTGTTCTGGGGTCATCCTATTCTGTAATATCCAAATAAAATGATTTAAATTCCCATCCTATGTAAGCAGAATCCAGCCTTTTCCACATTTTTGGGGTTTTTTTGAGTTGGAGTTTCACTCTGTCGCCCAGACTGGAGTGCAGTGGCACGCTCCCGGCCACTGCAACCTCGACCTGCTGGGCTCTGGCGATCCTTGCGCGTCAGCCTTCCAGGTAGCTGGAACTGCAGGCACGTGCTACCATGGCTGGCTAGTTTTTTATTTATTGTAGAGATGAGAGCTCGCCAAGTTGCCCAGGCCGGTCTTGAACCCGCGGGCTCAGGCATCCACTCGCCTCGGCCTCTCAAAGTGCTGGGATTACAGGCTGAGCCACCGAGCCCGGCCTCCACATTTTTAATGGGTTACTTTTGTCTAGAAAAGAGTTTGTTTCATACCTACTTCCAAAATCACTCCATACTTCAGCCTGCTTCTCTGCTGTTTTGTGACTCCTTTTCTGCCCACCTGAATGCACTATGAAGCTGCATTCAAGAAAGAGAATGAATAATTAAGGAAAATAATTTAAGCGACTGAACACACTAAATGAATTAATATGTTTAAACACTTAGAACAAAATTTAGCTGGTCATGGTGGCGTATACTTGTAGACCCAGCAACTCGAGAGGCTGAGGCAGGAGAATCACCTGAGCTTAGGAGGTTGGGGCTCCAGTGAGCTGTGATCCTAACCACTGCACTCCAGTCTGGGCAACAGAGTGAGACCCTGACTCAACAAAACAAAACACACTTAAAACAATACCTGGCACATGATCCCTCTCTGTATTAGCTGCTATTATTATTAATAATATTATTATTAGTTTTTGAGTCAGAGTCTCACAATCATAGCTCACCACAGTCTTGACCTTCTGGGCTCAGGCAATCCTTCCACCTCAGCCTCCCAGGTAGTTGGGACTACAGGCACACCACGATGCTTGGCTAATTTTTTGGTTTATTGTAGAGACAAGGTCTTGCTATGTTGCCTAGGTTGGTCTCAATTCCTGGGCTCAATCAATCCTCTGGCCTCAGCCTCCCAAAGTGTTGGGATTATATGCATGAGCCACTGTGCCCGGCCAGCTGCTATTATGTTGTTATTTACAAGTGAATGTAAGCATCACTTCTCTACTGTTCCTCACTACACACTGTTTCTCCATGTCCCTCTACAGACCCAGCCTCCCACTATGGCTCATAACCCTCAAGACCCTTCCTTCTACTTTTTTTTCACCCTTTTTTCTTTTTAAGCACATGCACTATGTTGGGATACTATAATTAAAAACAATATCTCCCAATCCAGAAAGCCTCTCCATAAAGATAATAAAGAAAGAAAACAGTTTTATTGTTGAATAAACATTAAACCAAAATGTGATGCAAATCATAGACAGTTGCTAAGAGATTGCAAAGACAGAAAGAAATCTCACTCTTTTATATAGCCAAACAGTTACAACCTGTTACAGACATGTCCTTAAGATAAACAATAACTAATCCTCAAGTAAGAAGAGTTGATAGCACTATTTGTCATACATAATGCAGCCTAGATTCACCTGGTAATTGGGATCCCTGTTAGCTAATTGGCTTAATGAGGAAAAATAAACTTCCTGTATCTTTATGACAGGAGATAGTTTTTCAACTTAAGCAAAGTGCCTGTCTAAGTTAGGCTCTTAACCTCCCACAGAAACTAGGAGATGAAGGCCTATTTTACTTGGTGTTTATATTTCAAAGAGATGCCTCCTTGGTCTTCAAGAAGGACATTCCTGGCAGGAGACTGTGTAGCTTCAAAAAATATTTACACATATTTCAAAAGACAGAAAAGAACTCATAAGTTTTCTAAAGTAAATGCTCTAAGAAAAAAGCAGGCGAAAAAGCCTCTTCCCTTATTTTAATAGGAAGAATTAAGCCTCTTATTTTTAAACTTTTGTCTGTCATAACTACCATTTTGTTCTCATACATGCACAGGAAAGACCAAGGGCTTGATTTTGTCTTCACCCTTTGCAGTAGGGAAGCCCAGGCGGGCACATGTACACATCAAATGAAATTTTCTCCTCTTCTAGATTCCCAATGCCCTGATGTTTGTACCAGTAGCCAACTCCCACATTCTCATTACTTGTCTGTGCAGAACAACTTAACTTCTTGATCAAAGTTTCTCCCACTAGGTTATACCCCTGAGGGTGTGCGTGGCCCTTTTATTTTATAGCCAGAAAAGTCTATTAAAGAGATTTTCTAAACACAAGAATAATTTCATCCTTTTTCTTTCTTCTATACCAACATGGCTGAAACTGCAGTCAGTTTTGATGATAACTTCATTTCCTCTGCTATATTAGTGTTGAGCCCATGTTTGGCATGGGCTATATAAATTTGTATTTATCCCTTGAGGCATCTACACATTGGACTCACAAGCATGACATTATGAACTGTAATTTTAAATTATGTAATCAAAGCATGTGATTTTAGGGTAGAAATTGTGTCATCCTTTTTCCAATTAGTAATTTGGATGCCCACCTGTCCCTATTTGCAGGAAGTTCAGCACCCCTCTCCTTAAGTGCTATCACTTACTTTGTCATTTTCCCATGGTTTGACTGGGGAAAACTTGTCCGGCACAATCTAAAGGGCCATTTTCTGGTGCTGCAAGGATGTCTGCATAGGCCACAACAGTGATATAGACTAGGACTTTCAAACTCCTTTTAAAAAATTTTAAGTATGTGGGGTACAATTCAGGGTTAGTATACAAATGTTCATTATGCAGGTACCCTTGTTGATGAGTGTGCCCTCCCTCCCCTGGCAGTTTCCTACTATTGCCAATCCCACCCGTGCCCTCCTCCCCTGGCAGTTTCCCACTACTGCCAATCCCTTTCTTTTTTTTTTTTGAGTTGGAGTCTCACTCTGTCGCCCAGACTGGAGTGCAGTGGCCACTCCCGGCCACTGCCTGCCTCGACCTGCTGGGCTCCGGCGATCCTTCCGCCTCAGCCTTCCAAGGAGCTGGAATTACAGGCATGCACTATCACGCCCAGCTGATTTTTTGATTTATTGTAGAGATGAGGTCTCGCTGCCCAGGCGGGTCTCGAACCCACGGGCTCGGCAATCCACTCACCTCAGCCTCCCAAAAGCGCGGGATTACAGGCTGAGCCACCGAGCCCGGCTGCCAATCCCTTTCTTATAATATTACAATAGTTGTTCAAGGTCTGCTTATGAGTGAGAACATGGGATACTTGGTTCTTTGTTTCTGTGATAGGTCACTCAGTGTTATAGCCTCTAAGTCCATCCGAGTTGCTGCTTATTTATGATTGCATAATATTCCATTATGTATATGTACCACATTTTAAAAAATCCAGTCCTCTTTTGATGGGCACCACAGTTGGTTCCATGTTTTTGCTATTGTGAATAATGCTGCAGTAAACATGTGTGTGCAGATATCTTTTTCATAGAGTGATTTGAGTTCCTCCTGGTATATTCCTGTAGGGGGATTGTGAGGTCATATGGGAGGTCGATTTTTAGACCTTTTAGGAATTGCCACACTTTTCCACAGAGGCTGTACTAGTTTACACTCCCACCAACAGTGTAGAAGCGTTCCGTTTAGCTGCATCCTCTCCAGCATCTGTTGTTTTTTGAGTTATTGCTGATGGCCATCCTGACTAGAGTTAGGTGGTATCTCAGTGTGGCTTTAATTTGCATTTCTCTGATGACTAGTGAGGCTGAGCATTTTTTCATGTATCTGTTGGCTGCTCATATGTCTTCTTTTGAGAAGTGTCTA